TCCTAAAAGTTGTTCTCATCCAGGCACCAGTGGACTGCAGTTTCGACCTTGCATCGGTCTCATCAACACCCTCAACGGGAGTCGAACCGCGACAGTGCAGGACGGTAGTTTGACACGCTAACCAATCGGCTACACTGCCATGAGTACCCTTGAGTCACAGGGCATAAGTGAATTTCAAGGAAGGTCAGACCTTTATGTTATATCATATTCTTTGGTGGGAGTGCCGATGAAGCAAACGTATATTTGCTATAGCAATCGACTACGTTACTTATTTTCGTATCTAATACTGCAGTCCACCCTGGATGAGAACAACTTTTGGAAAAGCAGGGCTATGTGAAATTGAATGGAAACGTCAGCTCAACTTATATCATTGTGGGAAAATTCTACTATCAGTCCTTCATCACCTTAGACGAAATAGGGTGAATACATCTCATTAAACTAATTTAATGGTAGTCTCAAAACTTTACTCTAATAGGAAAATATTTTCATCATGCCACCACTACGTCACATCGGCATAGCTGCAAATGAGTCACAGTGCAAACCTGATTTTGAATAAAATCCAGGCTTCTAACATTTTCCAATTATTGGGAGGATGTCGATAAGGTTAATTAGTAATCACCGTTAAAATCAACTACGCCAGGTAGATTCGCGTTGTGATGGCACCGTTGTTAATTAAAATCCACCGTGAGTATTCAGACATACTCACTATGAATATGGCTATCATAGTCGATTACAACGACAAATGCAAGTTTGCCTGATTTGCTTTGCAAATCATGTTTGCACTTTGACCTACTATCATTCATGTTAGCGTGGTGTAGTATGGGGAAAATAAATATCGCATTATTTAGATATGATTTCTATTTTGAGTCATGAGGAGCTTTAGGAGAGGTTGAAAATTCCCGCCATCCTGGATGAGAATACCTGTTGAAAGGCATAGCCAAGTAAAGTATAATCACCTCGTGGAGCATACTCATATCATTGTTGGAAACATCCGACTATCGGTCCTTCAACATGCTACGTCACCTAGGGTGAATAAGCTAATGAATGAAATTGCTGCTCCCAAGTCGAGTACCTGAAAACCGCCACAATGGCTAAAAGGAAATGTAGGTTCCAGGGAACTCGGGCTGAGAGGAGTGAAAAATCTCTGATTAGTGTGGCGTCGAGATAGAGATTCGGCATGCCCTTTATGAGTTGGGCTCCTGATAAGGAAGGAATTCTACAGATTAGGTCGCGAATATTCGATCTGTCTTATGTCTGTATATGCCATGTATTTTGCTAAGTGGAAAGTCTATCCTAAGAAGACAGGTCTTGACAAAAGCGATGCTTTTTATACCCTATTATTTGTTACATCCCTTTCCTTTGTATAGAAACACATTTCGCGTTAATCTTGTGATTCTTTGTCATACCACCTTGTCTCAGGGTACTTCCGGTGCAGCAGACGCAATTGCTTTCGGTCTGGACACCGCCGCCAAAATGGCGTCAGAAGAGGTGCCCGATGAAAAGGAGCAAGTCCCTTTGGAGCAGAGGCAAGCTCGTTATTAGAACGAAAAGCAACCAAATCTAGGCGAATATAACTTTTCAGATAAAGCAAAGCGTTTTTCTTTAGAAGCACTTAAATAAATATGAAAAGATGAGTTAATTAACCAATTAAGGATCATTACACGCATCCTTTTTAATAGTTAGACTGGGCTATACAAGTTGTAAAATCCATAATCTAAATCTAATGTGAATCATCAAC